TTATGTTGGAGGAGTTGTGGCAGATATTAAATTTTGTAATTTAGTTAGACATCTTGGCGTTGGCCTTGGCCTGAGTTGGTGAACCATGATGTTTTTTCCTCTATGATAAAACTAAAATGATTTTCATATCTATATCTGTATCTACACACACACACACACACACACACACACACAGACGCACACATACACAGTTCTAAAACAAAAGCTCCAATAAGTAGACCCTTTTTGTCCCTTAAATCTGTAAGCAAGGTGGGGCAAACGTAGGTTTACCATTGTGAGTATGCAAAACACAGACTTTATTCTTGTATTACTTAAAAGTCATTGTATTATTTTCCATAAGAACAACTGTACACTTACTTTTGCCCCCCCCCACCCTGTATGTATACCAAATAAAATTGTTCAATGTTATAAGTTTTCTGAGTTTAAAATTTGTTTCAGCCCTCTAACTGGACGTTCACTCAGTCACTTAGCCACTTCCAGCCGTAGCTTTCTTCTCTGTCAAATGAGGAATTTGGCCTAACTGGTTCCCAAGTGTCTCCAAGCCCTTAAACTCCATATACTATGATTTAAAAGTGCTTCTGCTATATCAATATTTTCCTCAGAAAGTAAGGTTATTTAATATTTATGTGCTTACAGACTCAAAAGAAGTAATGCACTTCTAAAGTTATTTAATTCTGCCCAATGATAAATTAACACAATTTAAATAGCTGTGTCGTAATTTGAATATGACTTGAGCTAAGATGAAATGTAACTTAGATATTTGTACATAACAGCCATGGTCTGCAGGGCCTGAAGAAAAGGCAGAGATGTTGAGATCACATGATCTGGCCTCCTCTTCCTCTTTTGTAGCTCATGGGACCACGAATGAGGACACCAATCCTAGGGTGGCCCATTCAAAGGATGGCCCACATCTGCTTCAAAATGAGCTGGGCCATCAGATGATCTTGACATTCTGAACCCAGAAATACTAAGACAGAGAGGGAGTTAGCAGCAGGCATGGTCCTGAAGGAATGTACCACGAGATAGTGTGAAGGAAGAGTCCAGCTGGAGTCACCAGGGGCCAAATCAGAGAGAGACAGGTTCCAGCCGAGGAGGAGATAGGCTAGAACCGCTCATGAGGCATAAGGAGTGGCCTCAGGTCCTGAGAATCTTCTGAGTCCAAAGCCTAAATTACAGAAATCTTCATGATAAAGCTTTTTTAAATTTAATTTACTGGTTAATAAAATTATATAGGTTTCAGTGTTCAAGTCTATAATACATCATCTGTATATTGTGTGTTCACCACAAAGCCAAGTCTCCTTCTGCCTCTATTTATCCCCCTATACTGTCTTCTAACCCCCTTCCCTCTGGTCATCGCCATGCTGTTATCTTTATGAGGTTTTTGTTTGTTTGTTTGTTTCCTGACCCCTTCACCTTTTTCACCCAGCCGCCCAGCTCTCCTCCCTTCTGACAGCTGTATCTTGGCCAAGCTAGACTTTAGTTCTATCTTTTACTTTTAGCGTAAATATATCTAAAACCATATAGTATGTGACAGTAAGAAGGCTGTTCCTACAGACTGCAAAAGCATTTGCAATCAATATTAATTAAGTGAACTCTTTTCCTAGGCTGGCTTTTAACTTTAAACTATTGCTTATCTATGTTAAAAGGTTATTATCAAAATGGGGCTTTAATCAAGTATGAATTTTCTTTACTTTTTTAAAGGCGCCATCCTAAGAACTTATTTGTAAGTTTAAAAGAATCTGCTTTTTCTAGTTACATGATCGCGTTATAAGGAAAGTTGACAGATCCTGGCCGTGGCCTGTACAGATAGCAGTATTGGTTCCTCCGTCTGTTTCTGAGCTACCCTGGTGGTGGATTTGTGCTGGCCACCTACTGTCTTTCTTTCCTTGTCTTTTATGTGACCAGAAGTAATGTTTCTGAAAGAGAACTGAATAGGACGCTGTTGTGGTCAAGGAAACATGCAAAGCTAATTCTTCAGATTAGAATATTATCTGATAGCCAGAGGCATTGGACTTGATCCTAGAGAGACTCAGAGTCGTTACACATGGATCAGAACCTATCATCCATCCTTCGTTTGACCTGGAATACATCCGTTTACAAAGGGGGTCTTAAAACAGTAAGGATAACCTTGTCCCCAACTTTCTTTATAGAAAATAATTGATGTATTTCTTGAGATGATCTAAAATGATCTATGGAAAATATATAAAATTAGGTAGCATATATGGCTAAAATCTAAACAAAAACATAGTTGGAACAACTATATTCTCAAACATATTTATAATAATATCATGTAAGATTTTACTGTCATCGTGCAGTAGAGAGATTTAAAATTAAATGGATATGAACAAAATAGAGGCAAAGACGATTGGAAGTACAGGCAGCTTGAGTTCTGAGGGTTCTGGAACTACTGAGACCCTTATGGTAATGTATTACGCACATATTTTCAGAACACAGAACACTCTCTATTATCACTGGGTACCAGCTGTTTGACATATCTCTTCTTCTTGCATTAGACATGGGAATTATTCTCTAAAACTTCTAGTATTATTTTCTCCATTTTGGGCTTTGAGTAACTTATTCATCGTTATACAACTATTAAAGAAACCAGTTACACTTAGAATTTAGATATTGTTGACTCTCATCATTGTACTATTTTCACTCAGTTACACTGTCTTCAATAATAGTTGAGGCAAAGAAAATAGAAAGGTAATTGGTTGTGAATTCTTTTTTCCTCTTGTAAAAACTAATCTCAGTGTGACCAAGAGGGGGAAAGAAGAAATTGCAGAATCAATATCTGGATATATTTTAAGTGAAAAGCGAAATATTAACCTTAAATTATACCATAAATGCCTACAAAGAAGGCTTGAAAGTTTTAACATAATAATTCTAAAACACCTCTGCTATGCTCTGATCTATGGTTACCTCAGTGATCCCAACTTAGAATCCTCCTTTGTGGAAGTCCAAGAACTGAAATCCACTGGGAATACCAAAAAATATGAGTCAGCGCTAAGGTAATTGTTTAGGGTAACATTGACAGACTTAAAGAGTGACCATTTGATCAAGGCCTTTGAAATTCACGCTTACAAGTTGACATCTTGAATGGAAAGGGTAATCATCGAAGGAATAAATCTGGAAAATGCACAGATTTAAACATGGCAAATCGAAGCCTGAATGGAAAATAGTATCAGTCTTTGTTTGGAAGGAAAAATGAAAACATGTCCCAACAGTGAGTGAGAAATGGCTGGCGGAGCTGTGGGCATGGTCTGCCTGTAAGGGAACAGGCTTCAGTTACACATGAAAGACAGGAGTGGCGTGGCAACGGCATTACGTATGTGAGAAGGGCTTACACTTACTCCACGAACCCAGGGGCTGAAACTAGAACCAGTGGAGGAATGTGCAAGGAGACCGACTTTGGGTGAAAATGGAATGGACTGCTTTGGGAGACCATCAGGGTCTCAGTGCATGTGCTGCACACTCATAAGACCTAAATAACCACCATTTAGAATGATCCAGAAAGGAACTCAGGCACATAGGTGGCAGACAGCACAGGCTTGCTCAGATCTCTTAGCTACAACATTCATTTATACTTCATGAGTCTTTAAATCCTGTACTATTCTTGCTATATTTTGAATCTGAGCAATTGATCCTTTCCCCCGCTCCTGAATTACCTTCTTTGAATTGCCTGTAACGGTGAGAACTGGATAGTAGGCTGCCTGAGCCAGCATGCCTCTGCTCAGTTCTGGGAATGCGACTGTTGTCAGCTCAGATTCTTGTTGTTGCATTCCTTAGAAATACTCTTTAAATATTTGGTAGCGAAAGAGTGGTGATTCTCCTTTGTGGCTTTATATTTTGGATGAGAAAAAATTCAGGTTTTTGATTTATAGCAGTCTAAATTCGTAGATAAATATTTTCAGTGTTAGACTCATTGTCTTGTGTAAATGTTCACCTAACAACAAGCTAAGAAAATAACTAGTTGGAAATGCAAACGAAAATGCAGCTACTCAGGTTCCTCTTGGTTTGCAAAAGCTCGATGTTCTGTTTTAAGGCGGTGTACCCTCTAAAGTCAGCAATTGCTGTCTTCATGCCATGGCTTCAACATCTCTGGGCCCGGAGTAGGTAGTACTAGTTAATAAAAAGCTCCGCAGCGGGTTTTCAGACCGAAGCATCGTGCTGCACTCTATGATTTTATTCTTGGAAGCATAAAGACTGTTTACAATATGGTGTCTTCCTGGGATCAGAATAGTGAAGAAAAAAAAAATGGAACAATGTCCAAACTCTTTGCATGGCAATGATGGCATTACTGGTGTGTTTAATAAAACCTTTATTGGGACATTTTCCGGTGTGGTGGCATTGGCAGAAACCATCCCCCTTTGGATTTGGAACTCGGCAGCTGATGAAATACAGTAAACATTAATTTGGAATGGGCTGCCAGTTTTGGAAAGCCAGGTGACATTTTATTATATTTGTACCGAGCACGGGCTGCGTCCCATACTGCTGCCGCTTCCGCTGTCACAGGCTTAGCTGGCATTATGGAAAAAAAATGGCAGGCCTGAGAATCTTATCCCCTGAAATGAAAGTCGAATGCCAAATTGAAATTCCTGTAGGATTTCCGATAGCAATGGGGGAATTGAGAAGCCCACAATTAAGCATATGGGCATTAAGATAATTGTCAGATCTGTTGGCGGACATGATAGAAGACAGATGGGTACGAATCAGTGCGCTCCACTGCAGCACCCTGGGAGACAATTTGACGTTTTACCTGCCTGAGCTCCTCTGCCATATTTGTCACTGGATGTACAGCACGGCATCTTGCTGAGTGTTAAGTGGCTGTGCAGGGCACTCTAGGTGTATGCGTGGTCCTTCAGCGCCCTCTAGTGAAATGCATTTGGGAGTTTTGTTTTGCAAAGGCCAGTCTTCCTTCATTAGGTCCTGGCTACCCCCGCAAACAGCTGTCTCACCTCTGGTTCCTGCTAAACTCTATGGTTCCTCTCACCTTGCAGGTCGGGGCCCATCGTGAAGACGGAGTGGCCCTGAGAGGCAGCCATTCTCTTGTGCCAAACCAGGTTCCAGTCCCACAGCTTCCTGTCCAGTCGGCCACCTCCCCTGATTTGAACCCGCCCCAGGACCCGTACAGAGGTAGGTCCACTGGGGCACTTCTGTCCTCACACAACAGCAGAGCTAGTGCTGATCCCCCGCTTACTTGGCATTCGTCCCTCAGGAAGCACTGGCAGAAAACCAAGAATCAAATTTGGCCCCAAAATGGTAAGTAAATGGGAAAGTATTTAGAACAGCTAATTGTGTTTCTTCAGTAGCTGTTTTCTTCAAACATCCTCTGAAATCCTGGTGCTGTTTCAGCAGGGACCAAGACAACAGACTGATGAGAGGAAATTTTATTTTAGCTATTTCCACATCTTACTCATTCAGCTCCTCTAATATGGTTAGTTGTAGCCTGAAAATGATATTTCCAAATGAATAGGAAGGAAGGAAACTGTTTTTGTTGTTGAAGATTGGAGGAAATATAGGCACATCTTTAAAAAAATGGAGTTGTTTGAACGATTTTTGGTATTGAGTCATCTAGCCCCGTAATGATTACTTCAGTCATACTGCGATGGGCTTTTCATGACCCAGGAAGTTGTCCTGTTGGGGCAAGACCGGGGTCCCAGGCTCCCTGTGCAACTGACTGAGCAGGTGATGAGGAGACACTTGAATAACATCTCATTCCCCTCATGTTTAGAGCAAGAATGATAACTCTACCACAGGATATGCCTGAGATTTTTCACCTGTTAAACGTTGTACTCATCTGAGTACTAATTATATATGGGGCTGCCGCCCATTTTATTTGAACAGTAAGAATGCGGCCGACCATTCTTTTAAAGAGCCTTTGGCTTTTCTTTTTCTTTCCTAGACTAATGTTCCTTAAGTTTTAACGTGTACAAGCGTGACTTGAGGTCTTGTTCAAATTCAGATTTTGACTCTGCAGGTGTGGGATTCTGCATTTCAAACGGGCTCTCAGGTGTAAGGATGCTCCTGGTCCATGGACCAAATTTTGAGTGACAAGGTTCCCAGCCACAGATTACAAATAGAGGGCAATACCTGATACACAAGCTTCTACCCTAGGAATAAAGGCTTGCATTAGGGTCAAGTCTTAATGTGTGTTGTGATCTTGAAAGTTGAGCAACGAGAAAGCTTGAAATTTCTTCAGCGCACAGCTATCTGTTTTCCATATGTACCATTTTTAAATGCTGATTACTCTTTGAGGATAAGAGAAGCCTAATTTCAGAATATCATTAGGATATCTATTGAAGACTTGACTGTACATATTTAGCATGCTCCCTGGGAATTATATTTTAAGGACATTTTTCTATTAAATCATTGCACATGGAAGAAACTCAATATAATAGCTGATATTTACTTGGGTTCTTAATCAGAACATTGAGGTGTATGATTTTCATGATTATGATTTTCATTGCAATTAAGTTGATGTTTTGTAGACAGTGAAATTACCATCTACTCCAAAAGATTGCAAAATAGAATTTAACTTCAGAGCCAATGCAGAGAGAACTTGCTTCCACAGGTGCATTTCTGAAACCTCACCAGGTAGTACATACACACGCACAAAAGACAGAAGGGTCACAGTTGAGCAGCATGAATCGCATCGCCGGCAGCTCCAAATCTGGGGTGCGAGTTTGTGCCTGGGTCTTTGGTGGAGACGTCACCGGGTCCCTCTGTTTCCACAGGCATGCCCCCAGGCCTGCAGGGCCAGAGCGTCTCCTCCGGCAGCTCTGAGATCAAATCCGACGACGAGGGCGATGAGAACCTGCAAGACACGAAATCTTCCGAGGACAAGAAACTAGATGACGACAAGAAGGATATCAAATCAATTACTAGGTCAAGATCTAGGTAACAGTATATAATACTGTCGCTTCATTTAATTCCTTTATTGGACTTTGATGAAGTGAACAGAACAGGAAGAAACTATTTAGTTTTTTCCTGGCAGGTAAATCTACAGCTGGAAAGAAAATTAAAGGCCTACTCTAGAGGTACTGAAGTATCGTTTAAGATACCTGTACTCTAGCGATGCCTGAAATATCTTTGCGTTTATGAATTTGGACCCAGGGCTAATTATACGCGGTAAAAACAATTTGTAACTGACTCAAACACAAAGAGTTGATTTTTAAGATTATACCTATTCTACAAATTTGGTCAGAAATGTTATTTCTAAACTATTTCTAAAAAGAGATCTTCGTGATATTGAAAACTCAATTGATGTATATGCAACTCTGTTTTTCTTATCTCAAAAATGAGAAAATACTGATTTCCCGTATTATTCTAAACATGTTGATATATATGTAAGAACAACACCGAAATTGCTAATTTTTTTTCTCCCGGATACTCCCTCCTATAGAAAATGCAACTGCAGGATCTAACTGTCTCCTTGAACTTTAGTCTGATAATCAGGTGGTTTTTAAGTGCCGTGGCACGCATATTTTTGATTTGCTAATTAAATGTACTAAAACTACACCTTCCTTTTAAAGGCTATTGTTCTTAAGGTTATATATATCTAGTATCCTACAGGGATGAAGAAGGTGCCACCTTTTCATATTGTCTTTGTTATTATTATGATGATACATTTTATTACATGTCCCATCACAAGTTCCAAAAACCCTAAAAGCTTCTAGCTTCTCCCTTCATCATCACTGCGGTTCCCTGGCTCTTGGCCACATTGGTGAGACATCCCAAGGGCTTGCACATGCGCACCACCTTCTGTTAGTCTGGTCAGTCCTCAGTAACTGAAGCAGTGGCCATACTTACTAGTGTGCATATTCATTTACCTTGTGATGTTTCAGCACAACATTTAAACTTGCTGTTAAGAATCTTCGTATTTTAAAAGGTCACCCCTGCGACATTTACTCAAACCTCCAAAAATGTGCTGTAAGGCATTGCTTTTCAAATCTAGGCAGTTTGATTTGCATAACCAATTCTAATTAATTATTAGCCCCGGTAACTTTGGAAAATAATTCCCATTTTCAGGCCCACCCTTTGAAAGGTATGGCATGGGCTTCATATATAAAAATATTATCCAAAATTTTTAACTTCAAGACAGGCCCAGCAGAAACTTGACTGTGTTCTCCTTTCACTTATTACATCCTATAGTAATAGGCAGCTTGATTTCCTTGGCAACAGCAGAGGTCATGGGTGAGGGAGAGAAGGCTCAGCAGCGAAGTGGGAGGATCAGATGGCAGAGCCTTCTCCGACTGGCTCGGGTCGGTTGTGTGTTCACTAGCACACACCCACAGAACACCATTTCATCTCCAGGAGCGGGTACCTCTGGGGAGATGACCCAAGTCTTACAACATCTTTTTCCGGTGCCTCCCTCCTACCCTCCCTTACACGTGTTCTTGGCTTAGATGGCCACCTTTATGTGCAACACGTGCTCGCAACCCAGGGCTATCACTTCCATTTTTGCTTGACTGGGGCTTGTAAACCGTAGTTGATCCTTATTACACTCTGGAAATTACCCAGAGATTCTCCAAAGTGGAAGATTTAGAGCCATGTCGTTTAAGCCAACTTCATTAAGTGTACATCACGTTGACCAGATAACGTCCCACATGTCCTCCAGCTCTGAAGTGCTGTGACAACACTTTTTCTGGGAACATTTCAAATTCGTGGAATTTTAAAATAGAGGTTAACCTTCATGGTTATTTAAAGCCATGCTTAAATCTATTGGTTAACATCCTTATAGCTGGTCACCTCCATAATGTTTTTTTGTTTCTTGGATTTTTTTATTGTTGTTGTTGTTGTTCGTCATGGAGAGCCTATTACGTTTGATAAAGTTTATTTTTGATATCTCTCGTGCCTCAAAACTCTTGTTCATATTAAATCAAACTATTCTGCTCGGCGTTCTTCTTTTCTATTCTGTCTTCCTTAAGCAAGACATCTCCCACGCCTCTTTTTACATAATCGCCCATGAAACACTCAAAGCCCTGATACCATGAAACTTTTATGCTATGCTTTCCAGATGGCTCATCCTCCTATTTGCCCTCCATTCAAAAGTTTCTTCTCATTTGTCAGCATGACACCCACAAACAGAAATAATCTTGCCTTTCCAGACTCTACAGGGTCCAGCCATGCCTTTGGTATGAATCACACAATATTTCTGTTCTCACAGTCAGAGATTAGCTTGTTGGCTTCATTTTTGACTCACAATGAGTCAGAAGCTCTAGCCGGTAGATCTTTGGAGTTTGTTTTGCTTTGCTTGTTTTACACAGCTCAGGTCAACTCAGGTTTCCCCTCGCTTGTTTTTGGATCATAAACACCCATGACGTTAAAGACCATGGAGATCATGTGTTTCTAACATTTTTATTGAATGCACAGAGAAAACGAGACTCAGATATCTTCAGTGGAATGACCAAACCCTTAAAGCAGATTCCTGGAGAAACCTGGACAAAAGTCTTCACTCCCATTGCTCTGGTGTTTTCAATGTAGGAGCTTCATCCTGATAGCTGCACCATGTTAATTTTGACATCTCAAACTGTTTTTGCAATCACTTACTTTCCTTAACTTTCTGATGTCATGGTATGAAAGTTAAAAACAAAACCAAAGAGCAACTTCTAAAACTATTCTTTCCAGGTTGCCCTCCTGTGGTGCAGCTTCAGCTGAAGTTGACTGTGGCCGGCTTTGCAGGGTGTAGCCTCTGGCAGTAGTATGGGCGCACTGTGGGCCCTAACTTTAACCTCTCCCGTTCGGTGTGAGTTAATCTAGGGCCTGACAGCCATCCAAAGCAATCCTAGCTCCAGTGCATGTAAAACTCTGCTAAGGACAAGAGCTTGAGATGGAAACATTCCGGGCAAACTCTGGAAGAAAGCAAAAGTAATTGAGTCACCGCCTTTTTCCCCACACCATTAGAAAATGTCCCGTCCCTTTTGTCCCGCAGCAATAATGACGATGAGGACCTGACACCTGAGCAGAAGGCGGAGCGTGAGAAGGAGCGGAGGATGGCCAACAATGCCCGTGAGCGCCTGCGCGTCCGCGACATCAACGAGGCTTTCAAGGAGCTGGGCCGCATGGTGCAGCTCCACCTCAAGAGTGACAAGCCGCAGACCAAGCTCCTGATCCTCCACCAGGCCGTGGCCGTCATCCTCAGCCTGGAGCAGCAGGTCCGAGGTCAGTGCCGGCAGCGGGCTCCTTGCAGAAGCCACGTCTCATGGGGCTGGAGGGAGCGTGAAGGACTCGCCTGCCTTGAGCAGGAGCGGAGGGGACACAGGAGCACAGCTCAGGAGAGTTCTGTCCACTGCAGACCACGACTGAATCTACAGGCAGCTCCCCTTTCTCCTGCAATTAAGTTATAGGATCCTCTTACCACTGAGACTGCAGTGTGAAGCTTCCCCGTGCAGGCAGTCATCGGTGCTTCGTGTATTTGCTTTACCAGCTTCCTGATACTATCAAGGGCTCTGTGACTCCACCACGCAGCTCACCCTCTACCAGTGACTGAGCGGGGGAGTCTCTAGTGCACTCTCTAACTGTCCCTTCTGTCTGCAGATGTGAGGAAAGGGTCCCCAGAAGGGTACACGCTGCTCCCTACCAGCAGCCTGGGCAGTAACGGAAGGCTTTGTGCTTCCTTCTTCCACAGAGAGGAATCTGAACCCTAAAGCTGCGTGTCTGAAAAGAAGGGAGGAAGAAAAGGTATCCTCGGAGCCGCCCCCGCTGTCTTTGGCGGGCCCTCACCCTGGAATGGGAGACGCTTCGAACCACATGGGACAGATGTGAAAGGGCAAGTGAGCTCCCCTTCACCCAGCCTTCCCGTGGTGCTCCAGAGCGACCTGTCCCTACACCAGCCTTCCCTCAGGTGCTCCAGAGTGAGCTGTCCCTCCACCAGCCTTCCCCGTGGTGCTCCCAAGTGAGCCCCCTACACCCAGCCTTCCCCGTGGTGCTCCAGAGTGAGCTATCCCTACACCAGCCTTCCCCGTGGTGCTCCCAAGTGAGCCCCCTACACCAGCCTTCCCTCTGGTGCTCCCAAGTGAGCCCCCCACACCCAGCCTTCCCTCTGGTGCTCCCAAGTGAGCCCCCTGCACCAGCCTTCCCTCTGGTGTTCCCCAGTGAGCTGTCCCTACACCAGTCTTCCCAGTTACTCCCACTGAAGTGGTGGCCAGAGCGGTCCATTTCCCCACATTAACAGATTCTCCCCTTGATAGAAGCGTTTAAGAATAAAACGTTTATTTCTACTGTTGTCAATGTACTAATTATTTCCCCTCTTCTTTTCCTTCTCAGGTCCAAGCTGCCACATTGCTTCATTAACACAAGAGACCACTTCCTTAACAGCTGTATTATCTTAAACCCACATAAACACTTCTCCCTGACCCCTTTTTTGTAATATAAGACAAGTCTGAGTAGTTATGAATCGCAGACGCAAGAGGTTTCAGCATTCCCAATTATCAAAAAACCGAAAAACAAACAAAAAAAAAAAGAAAGAAAAAAGTGCAACTTGAGGGATGACTCTCTCTAACATATCATTCAGAATGTGCAAAGCGGTGTGAGCAGGCTGAGATCAGCCCAGAGACTGAATGGCAATCCTTCCACACTGTGGAACAATGCATTTGTGCCTAAACTTCTTTTGGAAAAAAAAAAATGGTAAGCTTTTGTTCATTTGTTTCAGACTTTTTTCTCCTGTAAAAAAATAGTACTGATTAACTTTTTTAAAAGAAAGATTTTACTGTAAATACGGATTTTTTTTTTTTTTTTTTTTGTTTTTTTTTTAAATGCATTTTTTTTTTTTTTTTTTTTTACAGAGAGGAAGGGAGAGGGATAGAGAGTTTGAAACATCGATGAGAGAGAAACATCGATCAGCTGCAATGTACTAATTATTTCCCCTCTTCTTTTCCTTCTCAGGTCCAAGCTGCCACATTGCTTCATTAACACAAGAGACCACTTCCTTAACAGCTGTATTATCTTAAACCCACATAAACACTTCTCCCTGACCCCTTTTTTGTAATATAAGACAAGTCTGAGTAGTTATGAATCGCAGACGCAAGAGGTTTCAGCATTCCCAATTATCAAAAAACCGAAAAACAAACAAAAAAAAAAAGAAAGAAAAAAGTGCAACTTGAGGGATGACTCTCTCTAACATATCATTCAGAATGTGCAAAGCGGTGTGAGCAGGCTGAGATCAGCCCAGAGACTGAATGGCAATCCTTCCACACTGTGGAACAATGCATTTGTGCCTAAACTTCTTTTGGAAAAAAAAAATATAATTAATTTGTAAGTCTGAAAAAAATATTTAATTTAAAAATTGTAAACTTGCAATAATGAAAAAGTGTACTTCTGAAGAAAACTACATGAACGTTTTTGTTGGTATTCAAGTCAGCTAGTGTTTATAATTCCTGGATAGCGAATGAGGGGAGCTCGGCTGCCCTAGTAACAAAACCAGCAAACGTCGTGAGTCAGCGAAGTGATGACAGTAGCCATTCCTTAGGGTAGGAGGAGCAGATGGATCTTATAGACCTATGACAAATATATATATAAATATATATATAAATATATATATCCTTCCCGGTTTGTTATCGTAACCTGTAGTGCCAACTCTGCTTCCGGAGGGGTAGTGCAGGATGAAACGCTGACCCTGATGTTGCTTTTCATTCACGAATAAGTAGAAAGTCGTTTCTCCAGTCTTTTGGGAACACAGGACTTAAGAGTCACATCATGTGTAGATATTACAAGCAGCATTACTAAGACACGGCAAAGGGAGTTTGTCTGAACTGTAATGTTGCGCGTGTGACCGTCTTCTGGGATTTTCAGAGGTACAAGGTTAGAATGCTACAATGTTACCACTGTGCCTTCCAATGTTTATATCATCGGAAACATAACATAATCAAAGTGGCTGTGATTTAACAAAATGATTCAAGTGTTACCTACATGTGTAGCCGAAGTAGTGTGCAGTGAGGCGTTTCTGAATACATGGTCAGATTTTTGGAAAAAAACAAAAACAAAAAAACAAGTAAAGTTCAAAAACCATCAAATGAGAAAATTGCAAGTAGTGTGACAGAGCTGATTGATTTTGTTGCTTTCTTGATTTTTTTTTTCAAAATGGGTTTACTAAGATGTAGATGATATAACTGCCTCCTCCATCTGAAAAATGCCAATATTCAATCATCATGCAGCATTATAACAAGCCTTATAAGTCCTAAAGCATTAAGTTGCACTTTCTTGAGGAGGGGTAGTGCAGTATTTCTCTGGCCAGTATGAATGAAGTTTATACCTAACATATTTGATAGAAACATAGATCAAGCTATGGCACAGCAACTCATCAGATAGCTAGCTTTGACGTCTGGGCACAATTGAACCAACTTCCAACGTGAATCTTTATAATGATTGAGTTTGGTGTATAGTGCAGTAAACAAATAGTGCTCCTAGTTAAGTATTTGTCAGCATCCTTTTGTCTCTAACTCGTTTCTGTTTTTACAGCCACACAATCTTGGCATGTATTAAGAAAAAAAAAATCCCTATTCAAGTAGTTTTTTCCACCTATCAGCACTGAGTAAATGCCATAAATCCATCAAAATGGTCTAAATGTTCCATCTGTTCTCCTGTTTTGCCAGTTATATAGTAATGAAATACATTTGTAAATTTTATGCAACAAACGGCAAACATATCATTATTTTGAAATTGTGTATGTAAAAGTTCACGTGGTCATCTTTTACAAACCCATAAACATTTTGATTAGCTGTGTGTGTGTGTGTTGAAAACTGTAAATATGTTCAGTAGCGATAAAACTAAAATACTTTGATTTGTTGATAAGTTCCTAAAATGTGGAGGTGGATTAAAACCTTAGGAGAATAGCAGAAATCAAACTTCATGAAGAGTTATTTTGAGGCTTTCCTGTGAAATGTATGAACAAAGGGACCCCAAGAGGGCATGGAAGACAGTGTTGTGTCCGCTCCCCTCCTCTGAAATAATGGAAAACATGTGTCTGTGTTCCCTGGTATGTAAAGATTTCCTTTAGTGGTACATTCTGCACTCACTTTGTATAGTCTACCAAGGCGGGTATCCCTAGGAACAATATATAGGAAGCAGGTCTACTTTGATCACATTCAGGATAAGTGTACAGAAGAAAATACGGTGTTTACTCTTTAGGGAACTGGAAACACTCCCTGTGTTGATGTACATGTTAAGAATGGCACTTTTGATACACGTTATCATACAGGTGCTTAATAGAGCTGATTTAAAGGTTTTCAAATCTGTAAACAGAGCAAAAAACTAAATTGTAGTTATTTGATTATTTTTTAAATTGGTGCTTTATATTTTGTTCCCTCTCCAACAGAGGAAAAGCTGCAATTTATTGTTCACCAGCTTTGATGTATTCATTACCCAGTAATGTAATACCTCTATTGTCGAATTCCCTTTGGAAAGAAGCGAAAAACTTCCTAATGGCCACCAAAGGCTGCTCAGTACTTTTTGCTTGGTGGAGAAACATCTGCACCTATCCGTGTAATTGGGTTGTGTCCCCATTAAAAAAGAAAGGAAGAAAAAGATGAAAGGGAATGTGGCCTTCTTAGTGTGTTTTTTCTCGTTGTTTTGTAAATTATCAAACCCAGGTAAGATATTGGTATCCTGTGCTGGATTTTTCTAATGAAATTTAGCAGAAGACAGAATTAAAGAACTACACAAAGATGCCATCAGGGTCCATACTCTGTGTGTGATGATACCTAGGCTGGGGATCTGTTTAAGAGACTTGGACATTAAAGCAACTTGGAAGCATTGATCCACCTCCACATTCAAGTAATTTATGAATATGCAGAATAGGGATGTGTTCAGCTAGCAAGTTTACCATTTGTCTTCTGTGTAGCTGCAAGGAACACTAATGTTTATACAACTGTCCGTCCACCCAGTGACGCCGCTGGTTCTGATTCAGTCTTCCGATTCCTTTCTGTTTTTCGCTTTTTTCCTATTTCTTGATTTTTTTTTATTTTTATTTGTGATCTTTATTTTGATGAGGGGTTCGGGGTTGGGGAGGGAGGTGAACCAAGACTTGGGGTTAAGAGGATTTCGTCTTGGATCCAACAGGCAGAATATGATCTGTGTCCAAAAGTGAACTTGAGTCAGGAATGAAACATTTTCAGCATAAATAAGCACAAAAATTTAGTCTGCTGGCTGACTGGAAACAAAACAAACAAACAAACAAAAAGTCAAGATGGAATATGATGAATTCCAACACGATGGGGCACCAAGGCCGCTAGGCCTCTCTTTTTATTTTGCTTTGGTTTTGTTTGTTTTTCTTTAGAGACATGCTCTTTCTCATGGGACTTGACGTGGACTCATCTTCGTGCAGTGCTGGTTTTGCCATCCTCATTTCAAGTATTATAGACATATGTAACGGTGAAATATATGAACTGTGGCCTTTTTCATTCTTGTTACTTGTGATGCAATTAAGTGAAGATAAGAAAAAAAAAAAGCAGAGATTTACCATGTATCAGTGCCTGGCTTTTTGTTATAAAGCTTTGTTTGTCTAGTGCTCTTTTTGCTATAAAATAGACTGTAGTACACCCTAGTAAGAAAAAAAAAAACTAAATTTAAAAATAAAAATATATTTGGCTTATTTTTCGTAGGAGCAATCCTTTTATACCATGAATATTACAAAAAAAAATTGTCAGATTCTGAATATTTCTTCTTTGTAGATTTTTGGAATCATTATGAGTAAAGTTTGTTACTTTATTTTACTATTTAAAAGATGTTATTTTACCATGTGTTACTGAGATGAAACTGTATGGTAGCTTTTTTTTGTTTGTTTTTTTGTTTTGTTTCATTTGTTTATTTTTTTAGTTGTAGGTCGCAGCGGGGAAATTTTTTGCGACTGTACACATAGCTGCAGCATTAAAAACTAAAAAAAAAAAAATTGTTAAAAAAAGAAAAAAAAGGGAAAACACTTCGAAAAAAAAAAGATAAACAGTTACACCTTGTTTTCAATGTGTGGCTGAGTGCCTCGATTTTTTCATGTTTTTGGTGTATTTCTGATTTGTAGACGTGTCCAAACAGGTTGTGTGCTGGAGTTTCTTCAAGACAAAAGCAAGCCCAGCCTGGTCCAGGCCATTACCTGTCCCATCTGTAGTTATCGATGAAGTCATGTACATGACCGTTCTGTAGCAATAAATGTGCCATTTTTATAAACTGTTTCTGACACTTCTTTCACTTCATTTCGATTGTCCGTAGAGCTCTGATTCTCTTCTGAGTGAAACCACACCTATATTGCATTTTCCAAGTGTTGGAGGTATTGACAGCTTACCCAACAAAACACATACACACACAAATCACAAAAACAAATTGAAAAGCACATGAATGGCCAAGGAAGAGATGCCCTTAATGAAAACGGAATGGGATGCATGTGAAACCAAAAGGAAACTGTCTAGAGGAGTAACTGATTGAAGGAATAGAACCAGTGCGCGGGTGACACTGAAGCGGTGCGTTTGAAGAGCTCTGGCCGGCGCCATGCTGTTGGTTGTGCTGCAGTCCCTAAGCTGAGTCTGCCTCACCTTGGGATCAGTGGGTCGACTGCTTTGGCAGAACCTTGTTGGCTAGATCTTTGCAGTCAGAAATCTAGGTGATTTATTTTGTATCCCTTTGTTAAGAGCTGAATACTGTTAACCACAGTTACTATCACACTGTATTGCTTCCTTCTCAAACTGTCCCCACCCCGCTACTTCTGGTTGACCTCTTGACTCTTCATCCAGATGTGTTGTTGTTTTTTTCCAACTTGTACAAACTGACCTGTGTCACCTATTGTGGGAGGGAAAAAAAATGTACCGATTAAAATTATTCAGTGTTATGTACTGTAAGTTAATATCTTTGTAGAATGGACATCAATCTACTTTGCAACACTTGGAGGCTGTGTCAACCTTGCGTTGTAGACGTGTACAGTCAAGCCTGCAATGGAAAGGAAGCCCGGGGTAGATGAGCACTTGCTGACAACGTCCTGGCCCCGTGCGAGGTGGTTGCCGGACGTCTCCGTGATCGCTCTTGTGTTCTTTCTAATGGGGTTCAGTGACGAGTTTACCGGAAGGAGGATGTTAGCACCATGTGGTTCACGTGTGAAGTGCCCTCCATAGCCAAACATTGGAATTTTTTTTCTTTTTGGTTGCAAAGTTTGCAGATATTTAAATTTTAGGAACTTTCCAAAGATTTTGGTTGATAACCCTCTTTTCTTATAAATGATTTGAGATGTTCTTATGTTGCTGTGTATCTTAAATATAAACAAAAGAGCCATGAGCACTTAGTCTTTTAGTATTATATTTGATCATCTGTTAAGAAGGGGGACAATGAGCTTGGGCACCCCTTCAGTGACTCTTCTAGAGTCTACTCACAGGTTTTATTTCAGAGGAGCACCTTAAACCTTGACTTGGGGACGTTTTCCAAAGGGGAGTTAAGTTGCTGGAGAAATGAAAATATCTGGAAGTTAAAAAGATCCCAATAATGTTAAAAATGAAGACCATCCAAAGACGTTGAGACAGGGAATCATATTTCATCTCATAACTGGGTCCATTCATATAAGACCAAGTGGAATGTGTATCCCAGGCTTTAATGACAGGCCACCTTTCTCCGGACTGACAGCCTAAGGTTGAGTCAGCCACTGCAGAGGACGGCTTGCAGACAAGACGAACCAGGGCGCTGCTTGTGTTCAGGTCCCCCGGGAGCCTACATTTAATTTGCACGGGGGACCCTAATGCTCTGCCCTGCCAGCCAGAAGGCGGCACGTTCAGTCAGGTGTGCTCCGACGTCTCACTGGGTGCACGTGCACCTGTTCCCAGGTCAGGGCATGTGTCACGAAGAAACACGCCAGGACTAGAAGGGCAAGGAGAGCCAGTGACCTGGGTATCCACCCCTGAGAGATCCTTTGCATCGAGATGGTTTGATGACCCGTGTGGCCTCGTGTCTCCAGGAGGAGAAGATGCGAGGCCACGGCTGGGAGAAAGCACTCGTGACAAGCCTGAGTGCTTGGAGGTGCAGCCCTGCAAATACGTTGGGTGCTTTGGGTCCGAACAGTGAAATCAACCAGCCAGCCACTGTCTGGGAGTTTTTGTTGGTGGTCTGAGTGCGAGGCCTTTACATGACTGAGTCTTTACCTAGACAGAGGGAGTGTCTTGCTGTTTAGGCTTTTTTCCCTGGAGGCTGTGTATCTGAAGCAGTGCTTGGCGTCCAGTGTGGACCCCTGACGGTGAAGTACACACTCCCTGAGACACGCACATACTGTGTTGTATATGATTTTTTTACACGGACGTTACATTCCGCCTTAAGGAGTTGGTGGATCTCTCTAGAGTCTGGGCACAGACACTTGTTCACCATCCCGGGTAAGAAACTGTTATAAAGTAACGAAGGCTCCAGCGCTTGAAAAGGCAGCGCCCCCCTTTCCCGTGACCCAGGAGCCTCCCAGAACCGCACTGGTGTCTGGCTGGAGAGGGGAGAAGAAAGGCCCTTTGTGCAGCCCTCGCGCACATCTGTTCCGCTATATTTAGAAGGCGAATGGCTCTGGCTTTGGCATGAAGATCATGTAAGAGGAAGCAGAGCCGTGCCAAGTGCAAAGTGAAAACGCTCCCGCCGAGTCAGACCTGCGGCTCGAGGGCTTGATGGTAACCAGCCCGCGGCTGAGGCTGAGGCTGAGGCTCTCCCACGTGTGAGCACCAACGACAAAGTCTGACACAGAACCACTCGATTTGTTTAAGGATTTCCTTTATATCTGCTTGTTTGTGCCTTGGGCGGGGCCGTTTTAAAGAGGAGGAAATGAAGGCCACGGGTCTTGCTCCAGTCCAAGAGAAAGCCCTGCTCTGGCTGCCTGTCCCAAATGACCCTTCCGGCTTCACATTTTAACGGCCCTGCCTCCTCTACCCGCCCCCCCCGCCCCCCACCTCCCCAAGTGCATCCAGGTCCGGGTTATGTTTGTTTTGTTTTGATCTTTGCCGCTGCCTTTGCACAGACACTTTGCAGAAGCCTTCCAAAACTTCCCTGCAGCCCTCCTTTCCATTCTTTTTCTACAAATGGCCAGGATATAACTAGATGTGAGGCTGTTCATGCAGTAAGAGCCTGCTAGCCAGACTAAAATCTGCACTCTGGCCCACTTTTTCTAAAATAAACTTTCTATTCCGGAATAACTTTAGATTTACAGACACGGTGCAGAGATAACACACAGTGTTCCCGTCCACCCGTTACCCAGCCTCCTGTACGGGGACACTGTTACATAACCACGGCCCGTGTGTCAGACACGGAATTCACGTGGCACTTTCTACTCGCTTTCTCCAGTTGGCCGCATTTCCTCTTCCCGGGCAGCATGCAGCCTAGGGCCCCATCCAGCTCTGGTCTGGCCCACTCTGAGTTGGAGCATGAGCGCGGCCAGCAGAGTGGAGCCTGCACAGTACCCCATGGTCTCGGGGTCTGATGGAAGTGAATACACCCCTCCCTAAACCACAGTGCAAAATTGGCTGACTCGCCTTTTACAACACCCCCACCCCCACCCCACCCCCACCCCGGCATTGCCTTCTCTCAGAGACCCACCCTCTGTGGCAGCAGGTATGGAGCAGGAAGAAGGCAGGAAGGAACAGAAAGGGAGTAAGGGGAAACCTACAGCCCCTACGAACTGCATGATTTAAGTAGGAAACCGGCGTGGTTCAGCAATGCATTTACTACTCAGTGCTGATCGGGTCGAAAGCACTGGGGAGAGACGGGGAGCAGCCCCTGCTTGGAAGAAGCCCAGTTGGAAGGCACATGAATCTGTGTGAGCAACAGTAATGGCCATGAGGCAGGGACAGAGGAGGCCAGGGCCGGAGAGGCGCTGGGCAGGTCCCAGAGGAGACAGGACGAGTCACCTTGAGGTGTGACGTGCGTTTAGACAGGCAGGGCAGGCAATGGGTTTGAAACAACGGCACTGCTTTCTGCACTGTTAGGGAGTAAGCTCACAGGAACTCGGGTTTGGGAGCTTAAATCGCGACAATGCCCTTTTCAAATTTTTGTGCCTTTCCCATCTCTCAGCCAGGATCTAGAAACTCATAGCGCACCTTTCGGTCCACAGGATGATCCAGGGCCTGTGCACAAAGCCCTGCGGGTGAGGGACAGTGGAAGCAACTGCGCCTTCCTCTTGATGACGGGGGTCTGCAGGGTCCTGGGCCAGCCTCCTGTATGACAGCAGGCGAGGGAGGCCCCGTGCAGCTGCACGTCCTTCTCCAGCTCCTCACTCCCCGCCCAGGAACCCTTTGCAATTCTGCCACCACCATGCCATGCCTGCCCTACAGGCTGCACCACCACGGGCATGTGCGAGCCACTGGCACAGGGCACATGTAACTGCCCTGTAGTCCACAGTGAGGAAGCTGGACATATGGATGATTGAGAGAACACTGGGGCATCGGACCCAGGCTGAGGGAGGGAGAGGACTCATGCCCGGAAGCCTTCCTGGAGGAGGTGAACACTGAGGGGACGGGAAAGGTGCAGGGTGGGGCCCAGGGACTCTTGTTGGTGAGAGGTGTAGGCCTCAGAGTCCAGGATGTGTCGGGGGTGGATCCCCAAAGTGTGGTAAGCAAACGGCAACTGGGAAAAAGTACCCCATGGGGCGAGGCAATGCTAATGTTACTACATCATTAATTTCTATCAAGCCTCATTCTAAAAGGCTTTGGGATCACACTGACCACCATGAACATCAGGGAGGTGAGAAAAACTTCCTCTCCCACTAGCACAGTATAAGCTAGCTGGTCAGGGCCCTACCCTCATCATACCCTTTATCAATAGATGCTATGGAACCAGCCCCTTAACCTCACTCATGACCCTGGGAGTCAATATTATAATGTATGTGGTCCGCGTCACCCAATATCACCACCCAGAAAAGAACACATTACACAGAGATTGGATGACATGTAAATGTAGGTGGCTATGCTCAAATTATAGGCAGTACTGGCCTCTGTTTGCAACCTCTGGCCCCCACCTCTTCCCGCGGAGATGGGAGAAGTCATCTGGAGTGTGCTTTCCCCACAGCCACCGTGACCTCCTTTTCCTCTTGCAGGAATGGAACTCCCACCCGGCAAGCGGGAGGAACATCTAACATGACAGAACGATCGATTGCATAAGGAAGGTGTTCAAACAGAGGCTCGGCCTGACAGCTCTGTTTCCAGACGTCATTTAATTAAGCCTCACGGCAAACCTAGGAAATCAGGGCCTCCACACCTTAGAAAGAGGGCGACAGGTCCCCAGGGCTGTGGTCAATGCAAGTGACGGGGGCAGGCATCAGAGGCAAGTGCAGGGCTGCTGGCCGTCGGGCCCGTGGACATGGCACTGCCCACAGCTGTCTGCTGGGAGGGGCCGCTGGCTGGACCACAGTGTGTCCACTGTCCTTTCTAATCGGGACTATGGCCCCCCTTGTGCGCTTGCCGGCCACCATCACCCTCCCTAACGTGTTCTGCTGAGCCAGCCCCGTGGACTCTCCCCGACCAGACAGCACAGCTCCCCCAGAGCTGCCGTTCCTGAGCCTCTGCTCCCCCCAGAGCCCTGCCTTCATCTTCAGCTGAAACACATCAGTTCCACTGTCTGGATTCTGCTCCAGATCATCCCGCCCCCTTCAAAAACAAACAGTTTACCAACATCTGGGGCTCACAGAGCATAGGACAGCACCACTGTGTTGGGTACCAGGAAGAAAGCAAACTTTTTTCACAAGAACCTAAAAAAATCTCTTGCAGATATAAAGCATACAAACAAGTATACAGGAAAAGAGAAAACACTGGAATGTTTGAGCACTTATTTTAGACCATCATTCACGTCAGAAAGTACCCAGAGGCCTGGAAGCATGAACACACAGGAATCTCCGAGGGAAGGGGGTGAGGCGGGAGGCGGGAAGAGACTGAGCAAAGAACATGTGTGCAGACAAGCATAACCCGTGGACACAGGCAGTAGGGTGGTGAAGGCCTGGGCCGGGGGCAGGAACAGCGAGGAGAGGGACAATGGGGAGGAAGGGGGCAGAGGGGGCATCAGTAACACTTTCAACAACAAAAATAATTTAAAAATGCAAAAAAGAGGGGCATATATCTCAATGAACTAACTCATAAAGAATCAAGAAAGACAATCTCTCTCTCCTCCAAAGCTACTTTCTGCTTTATTTTACTTAATCCACACAATCCTTTTCGCTGGGAATTCTCAGTATTCCCAGGTCCCAGATGAAGGAACGGAGGCTTAGGAGAGTCGTTAGGTAAGCGGCAGATGCGTCAGCGTGGAAGGCAGGTCATTGACTTCTGATCCTG